CCTAACATTAGATAGACAAGAAAGATGAGATTCAATTCAATTCGATTCAAGTTTATTTGTATAGCGCTTTTCACGATACAAATCGTTGCAAAGCAACTTTACAGCAAATTAAGTTTCTACAATATTTAGTGGTAGCTTATCAGTGGTGACTGTCAGTTAATGTACATATGGCAGAAATGTACGGAAAAATCAATTAAAGACGTAATCAAACAGACGATGAACACTATTAACAGCAATTATTATATGATGCAATCAAACTTATAGCAAAATGTGGTAGTTCTGTATGTTGTTTCAGGGTTGGCATCATCTGAGGTCCTCTGAGGGGTTGGCATCATCTCTTCTCAGGTGTTCTGGATCCAGACTGAAGCTTGTGTAAATCCTAGTTACCACGGGATGTCAATCCTGTGGCAAAAACAGAGAAACAAATAGGGACATAATTAGCGTAGCTGCTGTTCCAACCAAGCAAAATTGATTTGTTTAACCCAAACTAAAGAATAATAATGTGCATTTGATCAGATATAACTGCAGTACAAGATTATGAGATGCATTATTTGAATGCTTGGCCAAAGAGATGTGTCTTTAATCTAGATTTAAACAGAGCTGAACCCCGTGAACCCCGAACGTTATCAGGAAGGCTATTCCAGAGTTTGGGAGCCAAATGCGAAAAAGCTTTAGTGGACTAGGGAGCGTGATGGATTGTAGCGTGGTAGAAGACTAGTTAGGTACGCAGGAGCTAACCCATTAAGGGCCTTATAGGCAAGTAATAATATTTTGTAACTGATACGGAACTTAATAGGTAGCCAGTGCAGAGACTGTAAAATTGGGGTAATATGATCATATTTTCTTGACCTGGTAAGTACTCTATTTTGGACCACTTGGACCACCTGTAGCTTGTTTATTGAAGATGCAGGACAACCACCTAGCAGTGCATTACATCTAGAGGTCCTAGAGGTCATGAATGCATGAACTAGCTTTTCTGCATCAGAAACAGGTAACATATTTCGTAGTTTGGCAATGTTTCTAAGATGGAAGAATGCTGTTTTTGTAACATGGGAAATATGATTTTCAAAAGACAAGTTGCTATCTAATATAACACCCAGATTTTTGACTGTAGAGGAAGTAACCGTACATCCGTCTAGTTGCAAATTGTAATCCAAGAAATTCTGTGTACTGTCTTTTGGTCCAATAAGTAATATCTCTGTCTTATCCGAATTTAATAGGAGAAAATTATTGGTCATCCAATCTTTTATATTTTTAACACACTCTGTTAGCTTAGATAATTTAGAAGTTTCATCTGATCTTGTTGAGATATATAGTTGAATATCATCAGCATAACAGTGAAAACTAATCCCATATTTTCTAATAATATTACCAAGGGGCAAAATGTATATTGAAAATAGCAGAGGACCTAGGACAGATCCTTGTGGCACTCCATATTTTACTGGTGATAATTGAGATGACTCCCCATTTAAATGAACAAAGTGGTAGCGATCGGACAGGTTTGTTATTAATCTAACTGAATTAATTGAAACCATGTAAGAATTTGATGTGAAAGATGACACATTTAATAATGTTAGGGGGGAAAATTATTTATAAACATAGTGGGAAATGACATCGTTTTTTTTTTATTTATTTATTTATTTTTTTTATAGCTATAGGCAGCAACGCATTTTCAGTTAATTGTTATTTCTACCTCTTTCCAGTCACAGAGCACTTTATTTTGAGAGTTGTTTGAGGGAGAGAACATCTTTAACTTTTGTTTGGGGGAATTGTAATATTTAATAATTAATTTTATTATGTGAATAAATTTTTGCATTGATAAAAAAAAAAAAAGTATAGATTTTTGTTTGTATGCTGTCAATTATAGTTCTTAGAAAGAAAATCGGAATCTGAAAAAAAAAAAATTCAGAAATCGGAATCGGCCAAGAAAATTGCAATCTTTACTGAAATTGTTCACATCATTGACATTACCATACACTAGAAAACACCAGTCATTCAAGAAAGTGTATTTATTGCATAGCCAACTCAAGAGCATAACGTAGGCCTAAGTGTCAAAAACAAATGTGCACAGCTCAGTTGAATGATACAATTTGCGCTATTTAACTTAATTCTGTTACAAGGCGATCTGTCTGCCAAAATAAGAGTGTGCAGTTACTCTTTCAATCAGATGTGCGTCCTATGCTGCATTCGTTACTATCCACCTTTTTCTTCACGTAAAAATTGGCTTGGCCATTTGTAAATTTTATGGGTCTTGCTTCCGGTCCCATTCACTTTCAGCTATTTTTAGTTGTACAAAACTGCTCGTTTTGCTGCTTGATGCTGCAAATTGGTGTCTTACCATATTATTTTAGAGTATTATCTTAATTATGAACACACTGGTTTGTAATGCAAACAGTTTTACCATTTACTTCACATTGTTATTCTTCTCGATATTTCCATATAGCGGGCAATGAACCGGAATTCTCGCCCATATGCTTACTTCCACATTTAGGAATAAGGTGGATAGCAACATTAGGTTCCAGGCACATTTTCTTTCAGAAGCAGGAAGTGTAACTGTAATTCAGTGCTGCAATGAAAGACTAATGTGAGTTACTATTAGTTAGCATTTTAGAGTCTCCTCTAAACAAAATCATATGGCATGATCTAAAAAAAAAAATTCATGAAACTTAAGAGTTATAGGGTGTTCAGATTTGTGGCTTTACCTGCATTGTGTTTCTAGACAGCAACAAGGCCAATTTCATATTTTTCATCAAAGGCGTTTCATGCAAATAATGTACGTGAAAGGAAAATGTAAGTGTGTGAGAGTGCCAGAATGAATGTGGCTTGTACGGCCCCTCATAATAAAAAAATTAAATGAAAAAAAAACAAAAAAAAACTAATGATTAGTTTTTAATTGTGAACTTATTTTGTTATTGGCGCTCACTATCAGAGCAGACATTAAATCTCATTATATAACAATGCTTTTACGACTAACTTTCATTCCAGTACAGTAAAACAAAAAGCAAGTAAGGCATTTTGAGAAAGTATACACTTTATTTTGTCTGTTTTTTTTTTTTATAATCTTGCTGTAAACACATCTACATAAAACAATAACTTGAAAGGTGATCGTTAAAGAAAAATAAAGAAAACCATTGTTCAAAGAAACACACAACTGCCAAAACACCAATACATAAAAAGGATAACAAAGTAGAAGTACAACAAAAATCTCAAAACATGAAATCTTGTAATAGAATCTCAAAAGTCGGGGCAAATCAATGAAAATCACTCTGAACATGCATTTTCTTTATATATATATATATATCACGGCTGGCTTGATTTTCAAACTGTTGCTGGCTTGACCGCAATGGCTTACTACAGTGTATTAGGAGTGTTTTGAAAGTGCTGTAAAAAGGAGATATTTCATAATAAAATGGTCATTTATTTGGAAAAAGAAAAGAAAGAAAATTTTACTATGAGAAGATATTACACTAGGTAACATGGTCACAATGTAATGTTATTCAACCACACGCAGGAGCAGAAATCGCATGAGGCAGCAAAGGTTACTGTTTTCTAATTAGAAACTGGTCGTATTCCACCAGGGGTGCTTGAAAGCAGAATCAATCATTGAGGAACAGACAGTTCAGGATTTGTTTTGTATTACAGTGGACAATTGTACACCAAACTGAATAATTATGAAACTATATTCAGTCCACAGAATCCTACGTGATAGACAAAAACAGAAATCCTTCTTAATAATCTGTGCAAGATTACACATGCTGTAAAAATATAAAAAAATAAGAAATTCTGTTTGATGGAATTGATTATGTTTTAACTCTGCTGGATGTACATACTTATGTATACACCTTATGTCAAATTAGGCATACAGATTGTTTTGACATTCGTTTGCGATTATTAATGCCATATCACTTTGAGCAGAGCGTTTTCTGCGTTTCACTGCACATATGACTACAGCAACAATAAAACATATGACCATAGTTACCACACACAGAGAAATGACAAGAACTAAGATCATGCCTGGGTTTGATATTCCTGGAGGTTTTGGAGCAGGGAGGATCTTTGAAGCTTGAGCAATGTTGGAGGTTTCAGATTTTGCTTTTTGTTTGTCCTCCGACTGAACTGCAAAGAAGAGTGTGGTGCCATTTTGGATTGTGATATTGAGATTGAATGAATGCTGTTCAACTGATCCAGCCTCCTGAGGTGAGACTGCAGTTGTGTTCACTGAATGACCATTGCTGAAGTTGAATCGAAGCATTTTAAGGTCAAAGCTCCACCTGATCTTATAGGTTTTAGCTTAAAGGAAACCAAAAAAAAAAAAATGCAGTGCAAGACAATTAAAGATACATTATTTCATGATGTAACTTTAAAACAACTTTTATTTTGTCAGCAAAGATGTTAAACAAATTAAAAACCTTTTAAAGACTGGTATAGTAATTGTATGCGTTACCTGTCCCTTGGTCGAGGTCCTCACCAGGAGCTGTCCAGTTGAGAAGCACCGTGTCCTCCTGTATCTCAGCACTCAGATCTGTGATTCTGTTAGGAGGGAAATTTGGTGGAGCTGTGCCTGAAAGTTTCACCTCAAAACTCTCTCCGGTGTCTGTTCTGGTAAAGTTTCCAACGTCAAGTGGTTCTTCAAAAACGGGAGGCTTTGGAGGGTTCAGCTTCACTACAATTGAAATGAGAGGAACCACCTGAATTTATTATTATTATGTTTTTCTCCACACAGCTTTATAGGTAATTACAGTATATTGCCATTTAAACAACAGTTAGTTCCAGTTTTTGCATTAATTCATTGACTTTCTGTGGGTTACACCAATAAAGTGTCTTCATGAGTGAATAACTGAATCATTCACACAAACGTTTTGTTCGAAACAGATTCATTCAGGAACAAAACTTCATGATTGACAAGCTGCATTCCAACTGACATGTTCCCTATGTAGTGTTTACTGCTCCCTAATCACTGAGCTCAGGATATCTGTTGAAGTCCACTTGACAAAATGCGTTCATTTGGGACACCTTGTAATGCCATTAAACATACCACATGAAGAGTTTGTGGTATGAAGGCATACTTCTGTGATTCTAAATATTTAATTAATATAATTTGTCATAATATTTTTAATATCTAATATGAAAATAAATGTAGTTTGGTTATATATTTAATTTATCTTATTTGATTGTATTGAAGAACCTCATTTAAGATGGCATAATAGCCTGTCAAGTTAAAATTAACTTAAATGATTTTAGCAAATGGCTGCAATATAACAAAGAGTGAAAAATTTAAGGGGGTCTGAATACTTTCCGTACCCACTGTACATGTAGTTCACTCATGAAACTCTAGATGGTGCAGGCTGACGGGTTGTTAACATAACTGATGATATTCAGAGAGTTAAACGACTTGACACAATCTGATTGGTTCATGCTGCATATGCAGCCAATGAGCTTACTGCCTTGCATTTATTGGCTGGCTAGCATTCACTTGAGATTCTTGCAGCGTGTTTTCAGAGTTTCTCTGAAACTTAGCAACTAGATAAGTAAACAGTCTACATTCTGATTTCAGTACATTATTGTGTTCGTCAGATTTACATTTTTAAATTACATTTTCTAATTACATTTTTAGAAAACATACTGTCACGATCACCAACTGGAGTGATTGCTTAGCCTGTAACGTTCTCCTGTTTTCCCCGAGTTTCATTCCCGTGTTTTTTTTGCTCTCCCTTGTCTTCGTGTATTTTGATCTTGGACTATTTATCTGTTTTATGATTGTTTGCTGCCTGCCCTGACCTTTGCCTGTTTTTGTGGATTACTCTTTTGGATTGCCTCGGATGTACTGTTTCGCTGATATTTTGACCCTGCCTGTTTTGATCACACTTTTTTAATTAAAAGCCTTGCATTTGGATCCCTACTCCATTGTCACGCCTCCTTCGTTACACATACAAGATGCACACCTCACTAACGTTAGTGGGGTCGGTTTGCAGTTGGCATTTCACCGTTGTTCAGAGTTTTAAGTCAGAACCCGTATAACCGTCTTTCATAAATGTCATACTGTCAACAGCTTACCTATTTAACCATAACAACTTAATGAGCAACAGAAAATAATATACCCACTTATACGTGTACTCGTGTACTTATACGTGCAATGCACTTAAGAAGAGGGAGAGCTCACTCTTAAAGGGGCCACATCTCTTTTTCACTCGTTACCTTTGTTCAGCGATAGTGAAGAGTTTATTATGGAAGTCATGTTTAGTGATAGCTTAAAGATAATTAATCATGAATTCATTTAAAATATAAAATTACTACTAATAATAAATCATTTCCAATCAGTAGCCCATGTACAATGTAGCTAATAGTAGGACACTCTTAAACTGGAATTTCTTATTTATGTATTCAGTTGGGTTTACAGCAATTATAGTACTTTCATGGAGTTTAGCAGCAGTATCATAGAATTCAGCGAATTGTTATTATTTTATTATGTTATTAGCGAATTGTTAATAGCAGTATCAGTGTTGGACAGAGTACTGAAAATTTGTACTTAAGTACAAGTACTGTTACATTGCTGAAATAATACTTAACTACAAGTAAAAGTACTGGTGCCAAAACAGTACTTAAGTAAAAGTACAAAGTACTCTTCTCAAAAACTACTCAGAGTACTAGATACTAGTTACTTTTTAGCCGGCAATATTTAATGAATTACCAAAAAATATTCATTCACATCAAAGATCTACAGTATGTGGATAATAGCTACTTTGAATAAAACCCACTTTTATGTTATTGACAAGGTATGTGAATTAGTGGTCATGATACAGGAATTTCTAACTTCAATACCTTGAAAAATATCAGTAGTAAAGTACCCGTGAATCGGAAGTTGCAACTGACTTCAGTGTTGTGATGTATTTCCAAGTGAAAGGTTGTGGCTAGAAGGGATACAGCTCCGACTGGAAACTAAGAATGAAATTTAATTTTCTACCTATTAGATTGTTTTTTATTAACGTCTACACCTACCCCAACCCTAAACCTGCCCCTTGCAATAATGCACTAAAGGGCGAGGCTTTATTGTGGTGCACCTTCACGCCACCTCTTGCTCATAGCAGATTCACAGTTGGATAGTGATTAAGAATATCTGCTACGTTGTTACGTCTGACATCACGCTTCACCACTTCTGGGTCCTAACGCTCTGCCAGACGCCCCAAGAAAACACCAAACTGTGCTAACCCACGATACACCCACGATGTCATGTAATACTGAAAAATTATAAGCCCTTTATCTCCATACTGAAATCCCAGATGGCCAGACAGTGATTCAGCTAAAATATTAGTGTCTGAGACACTGTGAGCACGGAGACTGTAGTGTGCACAGCAATTTTTTAAATGCTTAGCTTAAATATGTAATATTAATTAAATAGTGCTCATAAATGGCTGCTGAGATAGTATTCTCAAGTGAAATGAGTAGAGGCATGGACCCGGAAACAGCATTCCTTATGTCATACTTAACGAGAGGATTCTCCAGAAGCCGTCAAACTGACGTCATCAGAGCGAGAACGCCATTCCAGAGAGGAAGCAAAATGTTCAGTTTTTTTCCGGTGTATTGACTGCCACAGTTTAATTGTTCACCACAAGACTAGTAATGTGCACTAAAAAAAGTAAGTAGGGTCATTTTTGATTTCATGACAATTGACGAATCATTTTCAATACCATTGGTAAAACTAGCACATACTGTGTACTGCCATATAGATATTTTAAAGGGGTCATATGATGCAATTTCATTTTTTCCTTTCTCTTTGGAGTGTTACAAGCTCTTGGTGCATAAAGAAGATCTGTAAAGTTGTAAAGACTAAAGTCTCAAATCCAAAGAGATATTCTTTATCAAAGTTAAGAGTCAGCCACACCTACCTAAAACGGCTCGTTCGAACACGCCCCCACATATCTACCTAACTGTGTGGGAAGATTTGCATAACGCCGCCCAAATGTTCAAGCAAAGAAAGAAGGCGTAACTTTTATTCATGAAGGCGCTGTGTTTCGTTGTGAAAGCGAAACTACTTTGTTTGGTCTTCCAAAAGAGAACGATATCCGCTTCGTCATGCCTGGAGCTGACCCGTGCTGGTCGCTGAGGAAATACATCAACTTAGCGCTGTGGATCACCAGATCTGCTTTCACCGTTTTCACCGCTCCTTCGCCAGGACCGCCGTTCTCGACCCCGCCGCCTCAGCTCACTCTTGCCCGGCCTCAGCTCACACTAAGCCG